CCCCCCCCCCCCCGGGGGTCTCTCTCTCCTTCCCATTGTTGTCGCCATAACCTTCATTAACTAACCATATTCGCTTTCTGTATTTGCCATTAACAACTTACTATTCTTCTGTCACTGATCGAAATTTGGAGAAATTTTGAAATTGTGAGGATCCGAATCCATACTGCCAAATTTCGAAACTGAAGACTTCAAGTAAGTTTACACGCATTTGATTTCCTTTATGATCACGAGACTAAATAACCCTTGTCAAGTGAACCAAGAATTTGTACTTGCCTGAGTTTTTTAGCCTCTAGTTTCTTTCTGTGATTGCTTGTTTTCTTGGAAATCTTGTTTTAGTGTTCTATGATTCGTCTGATTTTTCTTTCTGTGATGGCTTGTTTCTTGGATTTATTGTTAGTGTTCTGTGATTCGTCCGATTTTTCTTTCTTGAATAGAGTTTAATGGCAATAATAACCGTCTTCTTTGTCCTATTCGTTTACATAATTCCATTTTCTTATTTTCACACTTAAAGATTTATATGATTTTACACCCATTCGATTAGCATGTGTTGTCTGTGCGTGTCAATTCACCTTGCAAACAATAATGTAATGATGGGTTGATTGTGTTTTTTGCTAGTTATCGTTTTCCGAACTGAATTTTGGGGAGACTGAAGTCCCCTGAATGGTCTATAACGAGTTTGTTCAGTGATAGAAGTCCCATTTCAATGATGCACGTACCAGGAAAAGGATTATTTGAGAACAACAGATATGAGTGTTTCGAGTCTCCACCTAATATTAAGCGTCCAAAGAATGATGCCATTCGACAATTTTCCAAACATTGTGGTGCCCTAGCCTTTCGGGTCAGTGAAAGGCACATTGAAGGTCTAGCAGGCGAGGCAACCACTAGAAATTCCATAGTTGGCTTGAAGGGAGCCATTTTACCCTCGAATCCTTTGGGAATTTTGACACCCAAGGATTTGAAAAATCAGGCTACAAAACCTTTGGTGTCACATGGTGAGATTGAAATTCTTGACAAAAGATCATCTCTCACGAATTCAGAGATGGAGCTGCCAAAAGGGCTGGGGAAGTGTGAATTGATGACTGTTGTAAATAATGGTTGGACTAAGCAGATTGATACTTTCAAGAATTTGGAAACATGTAAAATGCCTGTTAAGGAATGTCTGTCTCCAAGGATCCAGAAAGGGGTTCCTGTCTCTGCCTCTCGGCAGTTTCCTCCAGGTCGTGGAAGACTGAATCACTCTTCCTCTGTCAAATCTGGGGTTTTAGCTAGTGGGAAGTCTGATGTCGAGCCAAAGTCATTATTGGAGATGATAAGACCTGTTGGCAAGCGAACTAGAAATGAAATTCAGACTGGTCATGCCCAGGAGAGCAAGTTAGACGAGAATGCTTCAATGGAGAATGTAGACAAAGTTCAAAATGTTTTGGGTAATTTAGAAACCTTTTCTCGGCCTCTAATGTCTCCTAAAGAATATCTGCCTCCCAGGATCCGGAAAGGGGTTCCTGTCTTTCGGCAATTTCCTCCAGGTTGTGGAAGACAGAATCATGCTTCCTCTTCCAACTCCGGGGTTTTAGCTAATGTGAGGTTTGGAGTTGATCAAAAGCCGTTATTGGACACAATGAGAACTGTTCATAAGCAAACGAGAACTGAAATTGAGGCCGGTTATGCCAAGGGGAGAAAATTAGACGAGAATGCTTCAAAGGAAAATGTAGGCAAAGTTCAAGATGAATTTAGCCGGGTTATTAGAGAAGAAATGTGCAAGATGGTTCGAAGAAAAGTATCTTCTGGGTATGATCTAGAACAGGTAGAGTGCATTTTATCTCCATTGGATTGTAATGTGTTGCAATCAGTTAAGTGTCAGGTGGTCTGCCACGTAGAAGATGGAACTAAAACTCTGGCCGGAAGAATGGGAAAGGATCCCGAAAAGGGCAGCAGGGACAGGCTNGTCTTCTGGGTATGATCTAGACCAGGTAGAGTGCATTTTATCTCCATTGGATTGTAATGTGTTGCAATCAGTTAAGTGTCAGATGGTCTGCCACGTAGAAGATGGAAGTAAAACTCTGGCCGGAAGAATGGGAAAGGATCCCGAAAAGGGCAGCAGGGACAGGCTTGCTGAAGTTAAAAGTGATAGAAGGGCACATTCTGAGGAAGTAAAATCTTTTGATTTGGCTCCTTCATTTATTAACGGTCCAAATGCCAAGCAACGGGGCAAGATGGACTGCGGTTGTGAACTTCCTAAATCTACCTGTGGATACAAAAGTCATAATTATGAGTTCATGATTGTCGACAATTCTAAATCTCTTGTTTTTGAGCAGAAGGATGAGTCCAGGGTTTCATGCCAGAATTCTACCAAAGAGAAATCTTTTGTTATCGGAATGAAAAATGCTGATCAATGTACGAGTTCAAGGTTTGGCGAGGAGGAACAACATGAATATATTTGTGTAGACAAAGTTTCAAATGATGGGAGCATTTTTCCATTTGATGAGCATCGGGTAGGTGGTATTCACAATAAAGTAAGGGAGGCTTTAAATCTGTTTAAAGAGGTACACAAAAAGATGGTGCAGGAACATACAGAAAAGGAACCGGGAAAACCTTCTGCGAAAGTTCTTATCAAAGCAGCTATGCTTCTTAAAGAACAGAAAAAATGGATTAATACACAAAAGCAGTTTCTGGGACCTGTTCCAGGTATTGAAGTCGGTGACCAGTTTCAGTTTAGGGCTGAACTTGTTATTATTGGCCTACATCGCAGTTTTTTCTGTGGTATAAAATACATAAAGAAAGATGGACACGTTTTGGCCACAAGTATTGTGGCTTCTGGTCGTTATGCGAATAAGACGGAATCTTCTGATGTTTTGATATATTCGGGTGAAGGCGGAAATCCCAAAGTTGCTAATAATAAACCTGAAGATCAAAAACTTGCACGAGGCAATCTAGCCTTGAAGAACAGCATGGATGCAAGAACTCCAGTTAGGGTTATCTTTGGTCGGCAAACTTTGAAGGCCTCTAATACTAGTGGTGAGAGCTCAAAATACATTTATGATGGGCTGTACACTGTGAGTAACTATTGGCAAGAAAGAGGGCCATATGGCAAGATAGTATATATGTTTAGACTGAATAGAATACCAGGACAACCAAAACTTACTAGAAAAATAGAGAGCAAGGTTAAAAAACCTAAGGCATGCTTTGAGCGGTGTGTGTTGGACGATGTATCTCAGGGAAAAGAGAAGATGCCCATGCGTGCAATGAATGCTGTGGATAATGCGAAACCCCCACCTTTCACTTACATAACCAGTATGATATATACAGAATGCTATGATCCCTCAATGCTAAGTGGTTGCAATTGCATTGATGAATGTTCTGATTCCAAGAAATGCTCTTGTGCAGTAAAGAATGGAGATGAGATCCCATTCAACAACAGTGGTGCCATCATTAAATCAAATCCCATTGTTTATGAGTGTGGTCCTTCTTGCAAATGCCCCCCTTCTTGCAGGAATAGATCTAGTCAACGTGGAGTCCGGTATCAATTGGAGGTGTTCAAGACTGAATCAACGGGATGGGGTGTAAGGTCACGAAATTTTATTTCATCTGGGAATTTTGTATGCGAATATGTAGGCGAGTTGATCCGAGAAAAGGAAGCAAAGGAAAGAACAGGTAGAGATGAGTATTTGTATGATGTCGGGAATGGCTGTGATGATACAGAACATAGCTTCACAATTGATGCCGCACAATATGGGAACGTGGGGAGATTTATTAACCATAGTTGCTCGCCTAACCTTTATGCTCAGAATGTGTTGTATGACCATGATGAGAAGAGAATGCCTCACATAATGCTGTTTGCTGCCAAGAACATACCTCCTCTACGGGAATTGACTTGTGATTACAATATGAATCACGTTTGCAATGTAAGTGATGGTATCAAGATGCAGAATTGTTGTTCTGGTTCTCCCGGGTGCACTGGGAGGATGCTTTGAGGAGAAGATCTTCTAAATGGTAATGTAGCTTTCCTTGTGGTTGCAAAATTATATTTCCTTTTCATTATAGGCTTTTGTTATCATTTCAACATTGTTTAGACTCATTTCATAGCTTTCTAAGAGTGAAAGATTTAGTCTGAAGATTTTAGGCGTATCAGGAAGCCGATCCCAGAGTTGTTAGAGGATTTCATTCACACACCTTAGTAGGCATGGGTGTAGATCAGTCAAATTAATGTTTAAGGTCATAGTTATCAAATCGTATATCGAAAGACGTATCATTTTTCAAATATAGTATATCGTATCATATATCGTAAGATATGCACAATTTTAAATAATTATTAATAAAATATATATATGTTTACAAAAAAATCATAAACTCATAATAACATAACATTTCATTAATAGTTTACCAACTATTTAAGTTTCCAATATAATTCACTAATATCAAAATACAAAGATAGAGAAAGAACTAGGCTTTGTTTGGGTCTACAACTATACTCGAATTCTTTCCTAAGAATAAACCAGAGGAAGAAAAAAANCTGGTCGTTATGCGAATAAGACGGAATCTTCTGATGTTTTGATATATTCGGGTGAAGGCGGAAATCCCAAAGTTGCTAATAATAAACCTGAAGATCAAAAACTTGCACGAGGCAATCTAGCCTTGAAGAACAGCATGGATGCAAGAACTCCAGTTAGGGTTATCTTTGGTCGGCAAACTTTGAAGGCCTCTAATACTAGTGGTGAGAGCTCAAAATACATTTATGATGGGCTGTACACTGTGAGTAACTATTGGCAAGAAAGAGGGCCATATGGCAAGATAGTATATATGTTTAGACTGAATAGAATACCAGGACAACCAAAACTTACTAGAAAAATAGAGAGCAAGGTTAAAAAACCTAAGGCATGCTTTGAGCGGTGTGTGTTGGACGATGTATCTCAGGGAAAAGAGAAGATGCCCATGCGTGCAATGAATGCTGTGGATAATGCGAAACCCCCACCTTTCACTTACATAACCAGTATGATATATACAGAATGCTATGATCCCTCAATGCTAAGTGGTTGCAATTGCATTGATGAATGTTCTGATTCCAAGAAATGCTCTTGTGCAGTAAAGAATGGAGATGAGATCCCATTCAACAACAGTGGTGCCATCATTAAATCAAATCCCATTGTTTATGAGTGTGGTCCTTCTTGCAAATGCCCCCCTTCTTGCAGGAATAGATCTAGTCAACGTGGAGTCCGGTATCAATTGGAGGTGTTCAAGACTGAATCAACGGGATGGGGTGTAAGGTCACGAAATTTTATTTCATCTGGGAGTTTTGTATGCGAATATGTAGGCGAGTTGATCCGAGAAAAGGAAGCGAAGGAAAGAACAGGTAGAGATGAGTATTTGTATGATGTCGGGAATGGCTGTGATGATACAGAAGATAGCTTCACAATTGATGCCGCACAATATGGGAACGTGGGGAGATTTATTAACCATAGTTGCTCGCCTAACCTTTATGCTCAGAATGTGTTGTATGACCATGATGAGAAGAGAATGCCTCACATAATGCTGTTTGCTGCCAAGAACATACCTCCTCTACGGGAATTGACTTGTGATTACAATATGAATCACGTTTGCAATGTAAGTGATGGTATCAAGATGCAGAATTGTTGTTCTGGTTCTCCCGGGTGCACTGGGAGGATGCTTTGAGGAGAAGATCTTCTAAATGGTAATGTAGAAGACCTTTCCTTGTGGTTGCAAAATTATATTTCCTTTTCATTATAGGCTTTTGTTATCATTTCAACATTGTTTAGACTCATTTCATAGCTTTCTAAGAGTGAAAGATTTAGTCTGAAGATTTTAGGCGTATCAGGAAGCTGATCCCAGAGTTGTTAGAGGATTTCATTCACACACCTTAGTAGGCATGGGTGTAGATCAGTCAAATTAATGTTTAAGGTCATAGTTATCAAATCGTATATCGAAAGACGTATCATTTTTCAAATATAGTATATCGTATCATATATCGTAAGATATGCACAATTTTAAATAATTATTAATAAAATATATATATGTTTACAAAAAAATCATAAACTCATAATAACATAACATTTCATTAATAGTTTACCAACTATTTAAGTTTCCAATATAATTCACTAATATCAAAATACAAAGATAGAGAAAGAACTAGGCTTTGTTTGGGTCTACAACTATACTCGAATTCTTTCCTAAGAATAAACCAGAGGAAGAAAAAAAGAAGAAAGGCATAGGGCTTTGGCTAGGGACCTAAACCTTCGGTCGAACGCTGCAGAAATTGAAAGGATCAGGAAGAAGACTAAAGACTTTTTTGCGATGAAGAATAGTAGAACAGAAAAGAGTGTTTATTTGCAATGGAATAGTAGAACAGAAAAGAGTGTTTATTTGCAATAGTCCATTGCAATGAAGAAGATNAAGACCTTTCCTTGTGGTTGCAAAATTATATTTCCTTTTCATTATAGGCTTTTGTTATCATTNCCTGTTAAATAAATAGGATACAAGTCCATCGAGTGTGGCTCATATACATTAGCAAATCCAGTAATATATAATTGAACAAATTTCAAAATAACACAACTTAGTCATTGATGGTATCATAAAATATCTAAGGTTGAACTCGGCTTCCTAGGTCATTTAGCTNTTTCAACATTGTTTAGACTCATTTCATAGCTTTCTAAGAGTGAAAGATTTAGTCTGAAGATTTTAGGCGTATCAGGAAGCTGATCCCAGAGTTGTTAGAGGATTTCATTCACACACCTTAGTAGGCATGGGTGTAGATCAGTCAAATTAATGTTTAAGGTCATAGTTATCAAATCGTATATCGAAAGACGTATCATTTTTCAAATATAGTATATCGTATCATATATCGTAAGATATGCACAATTTTAAATAATTATTAATAAAATATATATATGTTTACAAAAAAATCATAAACTCATAATAACATAACATTTCATTAATAGTTTACCAACTATTTAAGTTTCCAATATAATTCACTAATATCAAAATACAAAGATAGAGAAAGAACTAGGCTTTGTTTGGGTCTACAACTATACTCGAATTCTTTCCTAAGAATAAACCAGAGGAAGAAAAAAATAAGAAAGGCATAGGGTTTTGGCTAGGGACCTAAACCTTCGGTCGAACGCTGCAGAAATTGAAAGGATCAAGAAGAAGACTAAAGACTTTTTTGCGATGAAGAATAGTAGAACAGAAAAGAGTGTTTATTTGCAATGGAATAGTAGAACAGAAAAGAGTGTTTATTTGCAATAGTCCATTGCAATGAAGAAGATTGAGACTGTTCTTCTTTGTTGTCTTTGATTATTCGGTGAACAACTTCTTGTCTTTGTTGATTAAAGAAGAAAGTCACCTTTATTTTTATTTTTTTAAGTCCTGACCACTGAAACGATATTGTTTCACTAGTTAGGAATTAATATATTAATAAAAAATCTCCGCATATTATATGTATCAAATGATACGTATTGTATCATATATATGTATCTTATATCTTATAATAGGGCACAAAAACGATATTCGTAACATTTTTTTTTGTATCGCATATTATACGATACTAATAATTATGGTTGATGCACAATGCATTATCCAGTTGAGGACTATCATAACCTTCCCCTGTTGAAGTCTTCAATCATTACTCAAATAAGGCCGGGGAATTCTAAACACAATCATTATAGTAGTCCTGTTAAATAAATAGGATACAAGTCCATCGAGTGTGGCTCATAAACATTAGCAAATCCAGTAATATATAATTGAACAAATTTCAAAATAACACAACTTAGCCATTGATGGTATCATAAAATATCTAAGGTTGAACTCGGCTTCCTAGGTCATTTAGCTCGGGAGCTCAGCTCATCAATATCACACGGAAATTATATGTGAACCTCAACCTTAGACCTCAACTCTCTGTATCTATATCACACGGAAATTTGTTCAAATGACAGCTGAAGTCCACCAAGTCTCTCATCTTTCTGACATCAATCAGCCAACTAACACAAGTCTCATTGCACAAATAAGGGGAAACCGTTACGGGGGAGGGGCGAGGCTCTCACCCCAAATCAAGCAAAGCCTAAGAATATCTATAAATAAGGGGCAAAACCCTCTAGAAAAAGATATAGTCATTGTAGCCTAACAAAGTACTCTCGGTAAACTACACGCAATTGATCAATATATTCAAGATAAAAAGACTTACTTAAGAGTAGATTAGCCGAACTCCTGAGTTGGTGAACTACTATAAACACTCTGTGTGACCCCCGAATTATTCAGAAAATCCTATTTCCAAGAGCCTTGGAGCTCAGATTGAACCAAAACCCATCATTCAGTGCACTTTAAATCCACAACATTGCTCAATTGTGTTAAAAACGTCATCAGGCACAACACGAATCAACAAGTTCGAATCCCCTGTCTGCCCTGGCCATAGTTATTACTTCTACCGAGAATTTTTTGAAACAACATTGCTTCACTTTCCAAAACATTTGTCATATTTTGCATTCTAAGTCGATGTAAATAATTAGATGAGTGGAATGACCTGTTCATCCAACCATTTCTACTCTTTTGGGATATCGTTTGGGATCCAAAGCATTACTCTTTTTGACATGGTTAGACACTCAAATGATAACACATATATCTCATAATGTAAGGCACCTAAGGTGCATTTGGGTTGGGCTATATTGCCCTTTTTGCCTAATGGGTGTCACTGTGCAGTTTAGAAAATGAAATATAAAAGTAATAGAATATAACGGCTAAAGTTAAGATATAACAGTAATAGGAAGATAACAGTGAAACGGACTTGTCAGAAGACTGCTTAAAACTAAATCGACCTCCCTTTTCAAGGTATTGCTGGTGATACTCGTCTGCTTTGTAAAATTTCTTGGCAGACAAAATCTCCGTAACAATCTTCCTGTTCATCAACTTCTGGTGTCTGTCCCTTGAATCTATTGCAGCCTTCTCTTGCTCTGGTGTGTAGAAGTATATTCCAGATCTGTATTGCGTTCCCACATCATTTCCCTGTCCAAAAGATAATCAAGGCATTAGGAGGTGTTGTGATCGAATGGCAGTACAGTTGTGCTAGTCTCTCTGTGAAAAAGCTATTAAAAAATGTATGTGCTAACCAAAAGGAATACAAATAAAGGATTTAAATGTGGCATCAATCTATAATTAATAGAGCAGACATAAAAGGGGAAGAAGGGGCCCCGTGTAACGTCTAATAATAAGAATTCAGACCAGCTCAAAACGTTCCTCCTTATGCCCAACAAATTTCTGGGAAATAAATAAAATAAAAGGATGAAAGACGGGCTGATGCTTATTGAGCAACTGAGATCAGAACACAAAGCTCCAAACATTATGACAAAATAACGTAGCCACCATTTTGTAATCATGTTCTCAACAGGACAAGCACACAACCAGATTTTGAAAGGGAAAATATAATTTCAATCATAACCTTGATACTGATGGGTCTTTGGTATAATGGTACTCTTTCCCTTATGAAAGTTGTCTTATTGAAGTCAAGGGTTCAAGTCCCACTCCTCCCCAAAAAAAAAATCNCCTTTGGTATAATGGTACTCTTTCCCTTATGAAAGTTGTCTTATTGAAGTCAAGGGTTCAAGTCTCACTCCTCCCCAAAAAAAAAATCATAACTTTTATAGGGGGTTGCAACAAGCAAACAGAAAGGAAAACAATCTAATAAATAACGATAGGAGAGAAATGCAACAAAAGGGAAGGACATGAATTCCACAAAATTTAGCCAAGATTGCTTACTGATCCACAGCAAAATGATATTCTTTATGATATGTCCAAATGAGTAAGTCGATGTGGCCCAAAAGACTCCAGGTTCTTAACTGTTTATGACATCAATCGTATACAGCCTTATAACTCGAACTTTGGTCGTTGTAAACTGCTCTAATATCACAATTCGAAACCAAATGACACCTACAGCAGTACTCGACTATTTCAGTAACTAATTCACAGAGGGTTTATCAAATAAGCCAATAGCAAGCAATGCCATAGGATATCCTTAACCAGAGTCAACATCACATGCCTTAAAACATTTCTCTTCAAAATTTTCTTTTCCGTAAACAAAAACAAATAACAATCGTCAATCTCATACAACTGTTGTTAAAAATGAAAAGCATAAACTCCAAGAAAAAAAGTAAAACATAATTAGACCAACGAACTAAACAGATAGTAGGTAAGAAAGCAACCAAATGATAACATAGAAAGCATGAAAAAGATTTTCATAGCCCCAAGTATTCCCAAGCACCAAATAAAGTATTACCCAGGCACCAAAATGATATTTTCCAAGAAACATTACAGGCGAGAACTGAGGAGGCACCTAAAAATCCCAAGTTGTTTACGCAAAAAGAGATTTCCCTTNCCCAAGCACCAAATAAAGTATTACCCAGGCACCAAAATGATATTTTCCAAGAAACATTACAGGCAAGAACTGAGGAGGCACCTAAAAATCCCAAGTTGTTTACGCAAAAAGAGATTTCCCTTCTCAGCCGAAGCTAAAGCACAAACATCTAAGATACACGAAAATGAGACCAATTGACACTGTTGTGCGTGCTGGTTTTTGCATAATAGTTGGGATGAGGACAGATCTCTCCCACAGTGAACTCCGGTTTCGTTGAGCAAACGGTTATGACGGATGTGAATGGGTTGAGAGGGAC